GGCAGGCGCCCCGGCCGCCCCAGCGCCGCGCAAAGGCGCAAACCCCGCGCCCCGGATTCCGCCCGCAGCGCCGGCGCGGAAGGGGCCCCGCGCGGCTCCCGGCGGCGAGGGCGGCGGCCTGGCCGCGGGGACGGGGCTGCCCGCGGGCGCAGCGAGCCAGCCGGCCTGCGAGGTTCGCGTCACGAAAATTCCAAGAAGCAAAGATGGCCCCGGCGGCCGGCGGCCGGGGCGGCGCGCGCGGGCTGCTCCGGACCCGGGACCGCGCGGCGCCGCGCTTCGCTGCAGCCGGGAGGCCGCGCTTCGGCGCAGGCGGGCGGCCCGGGACGCCGCTCCCCGCGGCCGCGCCCCCCGACTCCCGCGCGGCGGGGCCCCGACGCGCCCGCAGCCCCGGGCGCGAGGCCGCACGAGCAGCGCGCGCCGGCGGCCTCCGGCCCGGCCCGCCCGGGCGCCTTTGTTCTGACTTACGGGGGCTCCGAGAACCCCCCGGGAATTTCCAGGTCCCTGCAGAGCGGCGCGGAGGACCCGTCACCCCACGGCCCCCCGGGGGCGGCGGCTTCCCGGCTGCCCCGGCCGGGGCTCCCCGGGCGCACACGAAGTCGCCCCCGAGGCGCGGGGGGGGCCGCGCCGAGCCGGCCGGCGGGCGGGCGGGCGGGGGGCCCGGGTGGGGAGCGCGCGCCCCCGGTCTCCCCGGCCCGCGCTGCTGCCGAGGCCCAGCCCCGTCCGGAGCCCGGGAAGGGGGGCCCGCCGGGCGCCCGCTCCGCGAAGCCCCCCGCGGTTCCCCGGGGCTCCTTTTGTCTGAAGGGGCCCGGGGAAGGGGAAAGAGGCGCCCCACGCCAGCCGCTACGCCTCCCAGACCCCCGAAACAGAGCCCGAGCCCCAGTTACCGTGCAAGTCCGGGTTCGCCCCGGCCGGGGAGCCGCCGGCCCCGCCGCGCCCCGAAGTCGGGGCTCCCGTCCGCGCGTCCTGAGCGCCCCAACCCCGGCGTCCGGGCCGGGAAGGGCCGGGGACCCCGCTGCGGCGACGGCGCTTCGCTCCAGCCGGGCTCTCCCCGCCGGGCGCGCGGGAGGAGAGACGCGCCCGGCCCCGGCGCCGGCCCCTCCGCCGCGGGGCGCCCCGCCCGCCCCCCACCCCCCACCCCCCCGCGGCCGCCCCCGGGGCGCCCCCGCCGGGACGGCGCTGGGGCCGCGGAGTCCCGGGCGAGGGCCGGGTCCACCCTCCGGCCGGCCGCGGCGCCCCCCGCGCCCCCCCGGCTCCCCCCGGCTCCCCCGGCCCCGCCGCGCGGCGCACACGGACGCGGACCCGCGGGGAGACCGGGCGGCGGCCGGGGCAGGAGCCCCGGGGCGGGAGGGGCGGGAGGGGCGGGCGCCCCGCGCCCCGCGGCCGCCGCCCTCCGGGGGTGCCCGCCCCGCCCACGCGGAGGCGCCCGCGCCGCCCGCACCCGCAGGCCTCCCCCGCGCCCCCACGCCTCCCCCCGCCCCGCGCCCGGCGCCTCCCCGCCCCCAAGCTGGCCGCGCCCCCGCCCCGCGCGCCCCCGCCCCGCGCGCCCCCGCCCCGCCGGCGCGCGCCCCCGCCGCTCCCTTTGTCTGGGCCGCGGGCGCCGGCCAATGGGCTCGCGCGGAGACGGCGCCGCGGCCAATGGCGGGCGGGGGCGCGGGGGCGGGGCCGGGGCGCGGGGGCGGGGGGCGGGGGCGGGGCCGGGGCCGGGGCGCGGGGCAGTGGGGCCGGCCCGCGCCGGAGGCTCGGAGCCGGGGGACTCACCCGCCCCAGCCCCCCGCGTTCTTCCCCGGCGTCGAGCGCGCCCTGAGCGGCAGCCACCGCGGGGACTGCGTTTCTGAATACGGCCTCCCCCGCACGTCCAGAAAAGCACCCCAGAATCCGGAGGGAGGTGGGGGTGGCATCCTCGGGCCCGCAGCCGGGCGGGTCAGCCCGAAGCCCCCCGGGGCTTGGTCCAGACTAGCTCCTCGTGTCCAGCCCCGACCTGCTGGGCCGCCCCGCGCGCTTCTCGAGATGCAGAAAGGCAAGCAGGGCGCCCCGAACCACACGCGGAGCCTCATGGGGCTCCCCCGAGGGAGGTGCTGCTTCAAGGATCCCTGGGTGGCCGCGGAATTTAGGGCCCAGGGTGACTATCAGGAGCTGCTGGCCAGGGGCTCTCGGGTCTGGGGCCTCGGGGCTCTTAGACTCGGGGTCCGCATGGCCAGGGCTGAGCCCCCTGCCCCTGGTGCTGCCTGGGAGGCCGAGCTCCTCCGGCTCTCAGAGGGGTGGAGGGACGGGGGGCCAGGTGGGCCTGTGCCCTGGGGCGTGGGCTGCGCTGGGCTCTGACCCGGGCAGGCTTCCTGCCCCCTCCAGCAGGGACCCTCTGGGGCGAGGGCACAAGGCCTCCTGAGAGTGGGGTGAGGGCGGCGGGGGGCTCTCCCAGGCACAGCGGCACCCAGACTTGCCATCTTTTCCAAGCCAAGCTCAGAACAAGATCACAGACCAGAGCAGAAGCCCGCACAAGGTGGTGGTGGGGGACGGCTCCACCTGGAATGGCCGGGCAGAGCAGGGCTGCCCTGTGGGGTGGGTCCCGCACCCAGAGGTACCTGGAGCCCCAGACATGGGTCTGGCGCCACCTGGCACGGGCATCAGCCAGCCCCTCTGCGAAACTGCTGGGCAGCAGCACGGACAGGAGACCTGGGGGGGCAGCTCCCCGGGCATCCCAGGCGACCTGCAGTGAAGGGCTGTTTGGAGCACAGCCTGTGCCAGGCCTGGGGGCAGCCCCCAAAGCTTTCAAAGGCCTTGGGCACTTGGCTCCCATGGCTCGAGCGTCCAGCAGGCTGAGGTGCTGGGAAGGGACCGAATCAAGGTGCAATCCATTTACTTCCTGATAGCCCTGGAAGCCACCCAGGGAAGTGGGCCCTCTGCACCAGAGAGCCCCAGAAGAGAGTCGGGGGGCAGACTGGACAGCGATGGCCGTCCTAGGGGCCCTTGGGTAACCAAAGGGGGTCCTCGGGCCGGCCTGCCCTGGCTGTGCTGGCCGTGGGCAGTGGACAGCCTGGAAGGAGCAGCGTCCGGTGTTCCCAGGGCAGCCTGCTGGATTCTGCTCATGTCTTGGCGGGATGCTGACCACGCACTGATGGGCAGGCGGGGACCTCACGTCGTCAGGGACAGGGCTGGGGTGGCCGAGACAGGAGGGCACTGCCCACACACGAGGACCTGGGCTTGGAGCAGGTGGCCGCCCACCACCACCACCCCCTCCTCCTGGGCCTGCATGTGGGCATGGCCACGTGCCCAGCCCCTCTCGGGGGAGCATGAGCAGGCGTGGCTGGGCCCTTGATGGCCTGGCCAGACCCCTCCCCACTCCTCCTTCCTGTGGGCCCCACCCCTGGGCCCTGATGGCCGCAGGAGCTGAGGCCACCGAAGGGATCCTGGCCCTGCGGGCCAGGAGGGCGGGAAGAGCCTGGCCTCCGCTCAGAGGGCCCACACTCCCCGGACTAGGCTGGGCAGGGGGCCCGTGGGCTGGCAGCCGTGCAAGATGACAGGCTCAGCTGTGCTGGCACTGGCGGCCTTGCCCTGGGGCAGGCTCTGCTGGGGGAGCCGGGCTGGGGCCGTGGCCCAGGGCGGGCCTGGCGACCGGGCGCAAGGGCACCAGCGCTGCCGTCCGAGCCCGCTGGAGAGCTTGTTACCCGCGTCGCTATGGCGACCGCTGACTAATCCACCCCCCCTGGGAGCTAGGGTGACAAAACCCAAAAATATGTGACACTGGCTTAGCGGGCGGCTGGCGGGCGGCGGGGGCACAGCGGCGGTGAGTCGGGGCCCCGGGCGGCCTCCCTCGCCAGGTGCCAAAACACCCGGACGGGTGGGAGAAGTGCCGGGGCCAGGGCCACGCTGCCGGGAGAGCCCAGGCACGCCGCCTCGCGCGGGGGGAGAGGACCCTGGCTCGGGCCTCCCCTGAGGACAGCTGGCCCTGGGCGGCGGGGCCCAGTGGGGAGCTGGGGCCGGGTGACGGTGGCTCCGGCGCGAGGAGGCGCGCACGAGGGCAGCGGGTGGCTGAGAGGTGTGGGCTCTGGTGGGGTCTCTCCCTCCAGACAGGGTGACCCTTCCTGCGCGTGGGCCTGAGGCTGTACTCCTGGCCGTCTGGAGGCAGCAGGCAGACGGGCAAAGGTCCTGCCGCCACCCACGCAGTGACACCTTGGGGTCACCCTCCCGGTGCCGTCGCCCCCTCCCGGCAGCGCAGGCAGGGTGAGACCTGCCCCCTCAGCCATGGCCCGCCCGGGAGCCTCCCTCTGGGTCCCGTCCCTGCCAGAGCGGGCAGCTGGCGTGGCCCCGGAGGCACGAGTTTCCACGGGCGCCCCTCCGGGAGCGTGTACCCTGGCAGGTGAGATGAGCACGCCACGTGAGGGGCCCCAGGGCGCCACAGAGCCTGCAGGCGCGGGGAGGCCGGCTTCTCGGGGTGCTCTGTGGGGCCGGCAGGGGGAGCAACGCAGAGGGCAGGCTGGCGCCACCCCCAGTGGCCTGGGGCGAGCCCTGGGAGCTGGGGCTGTTTTCCTGGCAGGTCACGGTGGCCTCATTTTTACCAGAACCGTCTTACGTGTCCAGAGAAAAGAAGCCGGAGAACGTGCTCGTCGTGAAGGACAGAAACTGGAAGTGAGCCTGGAGGTCTCCGGGGCAGAGGGCCTGGCCGGGGGCTGGCCTGGAAGAGCAGGTCCAGCAGCGCTGCCCGGCGCACAGGGAAGCCCCCGCCGCTACTGGCGGGGAAGCGGGGTGCCTGCAGCTGGCCCCGGGGCCAGCGCCCCTGGTCCCGTCTGAGTCCGGGGAGCCCACAAGCCCCCCGGGGGACCACTGGCTGGGACCCTCAGCCGAGGCAAGAGATAAGTGGGGCTTTCCAGCGGCGGCCTGCGGGGGAACCGGGATGGTGTGGGAGGGGCCCGCGGGACCGTCTAGATGCTGAGCGGTCCTCACCGCGGGCAGGAGAGGTGAGGCCGAGTGTGCGAGTGAAAGACGCCAGCGGCGATAGATCCGCGATGTCAAACCGGCAGGCGGAAGGGACGGTGGGCGCGAAGCCAGCCAGCGCATCTGACAAAGGCAGGAAGTTCGGCGGGGACAGGACGGGAGGCCCGCGGGAAGCCTGCAGGCCAGCCCCGGGCCCGGGAGGGGTCCAGGCGCAGGCCCGAGCGGGGCGGCACGGCACTGCGCGGAGGCGGGTGCTCAGAGGCTGCCGTGCGGTGGTCAGCGAGGCTGAGCCCGCAGGTGGCCGGCCGGGCCCGGGAAGACCCCCGGAAAGGCCCCCGGTGGGCAGCTCGGGGTCCGCGCCTGGCCCTGGGCCGAGCCTTTCTCCTCGCTGCTCTCGTGCGGGCGCCGGGCGTTTCCTTGGGCCGCGAGCTTGTGACTCGGCCACGGTGACGGTGGTTTTCAAGTCAGATTTCTTGAAGCACCATTTCTGTTCCAGGCGCTTGAAGGCTGCCGGCTGCTTCCCGTGTTCACCAGGAGGCCCAAGCCCCACATCTCCTGGGTTCTGTGGCGGAAACCGCGGGGACAGGCTCCCCGGGGGCCCAGCGCGGCCAGAGTCTCTAGAGCCCGGGCCAGGCCGGCCTGGACGGCTGGGGGTCCGGGCCAAGGCCCCGTGGGCCGGCGGGCGTGGCTGGGCTCCGCCCTGGTGAGGCTCCAGGGGAGGCCGTCCCTGTCTGCCACCCGACCCGGCCCTCCTTGCCCACGCGAGGGTTGTCGGGCAACGTGGGCGGACAGGCGGTTCTGCACCTCCCTCAAGCACTCGCAGACGCGGAGTGGAGGCAGGAGGCGGCTGGCCGGGGCAGCGCGCACGGGGTCTGAAGAGCCTGGCCTGGCGGGTGGCCACGCTGAATCCGGCCGTTTGGTCCTGACACAGCTGCCGCCAGCCCCAGCCGTCACCCTGCTCTACGGGCACCAGCGAGAGGGGTGAGTGGAGCCACAAGGGTAAGACACAGAGCACTCACGGGCCTGCAGTCCACTCGCAGTGCTGGCTGGGGGCCCACAGCCGCTGCTCCGGTGCCCCCCAGGCGAGGCCCAGCCCCAGCTGAGCACAGCCCAGGAAAGCCGCGGCTGCAGGCGGGCCCCCTCCTGTCCTCAGGCCGCCTTTCCGTGGGGGAGGGGCGAGAAGGCTGCCCCCCCACCCCCGCGGGTTCGTGCGCCCCCACATGACTCCCTGGTGTCAACACAGCCGCATGCGTAGGCGGAAAGCAGGGGGCGGCGCAGTGAAGGCCTCGACTGTGGGAGCAGACGGCCAGAGAGGCTGTCCGCAAACCCAAACCCCTCGTCCGTCTGGCAGAGAGGTGCAGGCCGGCCGCGGCCACAGCCTGGGAGAGAGGGCCGCGCCTTCTGACTGGGAGCCAGGAAGGACGAGCGTGGGAGCCCCACTTCTCAAACTCACGGGGTGCTTCGGAAACGGGGTGTGCACGCCCCACGTCCACTCCTGGAGGTGGGACGCTGAGGGACGTGAGAGCTTCGCACGCACGCAGTGGCAGCAGGCTCGCTGGGAGACTGGGCACTGGCTCCTGCTGGACACCATCTACACGCCTGGAGGCCTCACGCCCGCGACCCTTGGTCACCTCCCAGCAGCCACCGTGGGCTCTGCATCTTGGGGGCCGACCAGCGGTTTCCCCAGAGAGCGACCTGCGCCGGACGCTGTCGCCAGCTGCGCCAAGTGCGCTCCTCGCTGGGAACGTGGGCCTGCCCTTCCCGTGCATGTCTGCCCGTGGCCGGTCCCCCCTCGCTGCCCAGCGGGGACCCTGCCTGTGAGCCGTGCCCGCCCGTCATGGATGGGGACTCGCGACAGAATAAGATGGACTGCTGGCACCGTGACACCGACCCCGGGGACACGCAGCGCGCAGCCCCCGGGTTTCGATGATCAGAGTGGACAGACACAAATCTCTGCGTCATTCCCCGAAGCTGCTGGCCCTCGAACTCGCTGCTTGGGGGCTGGCCCGGGGCACCTGGGGGACCCCCAGCTCCTTCCCGTCACCAGCCTCCCCTCCGCCCTCTCCCGCGGGTCCTGGACCAGCCCTGTCTCTCGGGTTTGGACGGTCTGGACAGCCGCGGGTCTGGCCCTCAGGTTGAAGGTCCTCGGGTGGCCCAGCTGGGTGCCCTGCACTCAGGCCTGGGATGGTGTCTGGGTGAGGCCGGCCAGGCTCCCATGGGGCTGAGCGGAGCCCGAGGCGACTTCCAGAGAGGCCGCGCCAGCTGGATCTGCCCCCTGCCGGCACCGGCACCGCGTCACCTGCGTGCCCTCGGTGCATCGCCGCTTCCCGCCCCGCTGCAGTCACGCCCCACCCGGCTCGGTCTCTTCTCCCCGGCCTGGGCGGGGCTGTTGTTTGTGTCTTGAACGTTGTACTTCCGAACAATTTCCAGTTTACAGAGAAGTTGTCAGAGTCGGTGCAAAGAGCCTCCAGACGGCGCCCACCAGGCCCCCGCCCGCTCGCCCTTTCCAGTGCCTGGAGGAAGACTCTGGGTGTGTGCACCCCCCGCCCCAAGAGCCCCCAGGACAGAGGGGATCTTGCCACGCGCACCAAATGGAAGGAAGCTGAGGGGCTGTGGGAAGTGAAGCCGGCCTGAGCCCAGCACGGACAGGGAGGCCGGGTGACGACTGACGGGCAGCACAGACTCCCCCCGGGGACCCCGCCGTGGCCGACGGGGCTCTGCCCCGTCTGGCTGTTGGGTTTGGGCCTGGCCCTAGCCCGGGGCCCCCATCCACCGTCATAAAGAGTATACAGGGTGAGACGCTGTGGACCGTTGGGGATGCAGGATCCCCGCCAGGGCAGGCCGTGGGGGGACCTGTACCCCAGCCTGGAGTTCCAGCTCGCCCCTGTGGGCCAGGGCCCACGAGGCGCCGGGGTGCTGGCTGCATCCCCCTCAGCCCGGCAGCTCTGCCCCCTGCCTGAGTGGCCTTTCCCGTCTCTGTTGGCCATGCTGGGCCTGGAGTCCAGGGAGGAAGGCCCTGCCGCTGGAGCCTGCCCAGAGGCGGCACACTGAGCAGAGAGGGGGTTGCTCGGATGGCCCCCCCAGGAGCTCTCAGCACACCAGCCCCGCCCCAAGACCCGTAGACGCTGGACTGGCCCCTGCTGTCAACTGTCCACTTGTGAGGCCCCCAGAGGGTCAGGCAGCCGAAGAGTCTCTTAAAAGTCTAAAGTGGGGCCTCCCCGTTGGTGCAGCGGTTGAGCGCTGGGTTGTGAAGCTGCCCGTGGCCTCTGCGGCGCCGGTTCGATCCCCGGCTGCTCCCCGGCCACTGGGCGAGGGTCCCACATGGCGCGCAGACCTCTCCTGCCGCCCGCTGCTCCCCTCAGCAGTGTCCTTCGGTCCTTCTGCCTGCTCTGCTCCCCGCTCTGGCTCTGGTGAATTCTCTCACCCTCCCGCGCTTCTGACTGTACCCAGTGCTTGTATAAACAAAACAAACAAACAAATAAATAGATAAATAAAACATGCCTCTATTAAAAAAAAATAATAAAAAATTTAAAAAAAATTCTAAAGTGTTTGGGAACATTTGAGTTCACCGGGGTTTGCGTGCAGCGACGCCGCAGCCCCCGCTGGGTTCGTTGGATGTTGCCCGAGACGCTGGCGCCAACGCCTGACCCGTTGCCGGTCCCCGCGGACACCTACGGCCGAGTCTTCCCTGAACCGATTATTAAAATGCTGGTCGTGGGGCCTCCCCGGTGGCGCAGGCGGTTGAGCGCAGGGCTGTGAAGCTGTCCGCAGTCTCTGGAGGGCGGGTTCGATCCCCGGCCGGCCAGGGAGATTCCTGCGTGGCGTGGCAGACCCCTCCCGTCTCGCCCACTGCTCCCCTTTCAGTCCATCTGCCTGTTCTGTTCCCCGCTCTGTCTCTGTGGAGTCCCCTCAGCCCTGCACCTCTGGCCTGTACCCCAGTTCTTGCATGCGTAAGTAAATAAAAAAAAATCTTTACAAAGAAGGATAAATATATAAACAAAGGACCCGTTCCCGTGGCGTGTCTCGTGGCTTCTGTCCTCCACGGTGGTCCAGGCAGCTGCCCCGCAGGCTCTTGCACCCCACACGTCCCTCTGGCAGAGACGGCCACCCCCACGCCTGTCCTTGGCCTCTCAGCCTGTCCCTGGGCCCCTGTGAGAGACCCTGCTCGCCGCTCCCCATGCGGCCGCAGCCCTGGACACGTCCCTCTGTGCCATTCGCAAGCCCTGCCCCGTCCTGGCAGAGCCCCGAGCTGGGAGCCAAGATGTGGGCCAGTGTGCCAGCTGCACAGGACCGCGCACACTCACACCCACACGCCCAGACACACACTCACACCCACATACCCAGACACACACCCAGATACACCCAGATACACCCTTATGCCCAGACACACCCACACGCCCAGACACACACTCACACTCAGACGCCCACACTCAGCTTCCTCACCCCGCAGCCGGCGCTGTCCACGTAGCCTCCCCTGCCCCCCGTCCCTTAGCGCCGGCTCGGCGGACCTTCCCACATCTGAACCCCCTTCTCCAGGGGAGAGCCTGGGCCTGACCCCCTGGCAGGTCCTCAGCACGGCTCCTCCTCGAGGCGCCGGGCGGGTCTGTCCGCCTGTCCGCTGTCCGTGTCGCCCTCTCCTGGGGCTTCAGGCATCTCTGGCACGTGGCTGCGTAGCCCGGCCCGGCCCCCAGCCCCTGGTCTATGTGCAGGTCCCTTGCCCCCCACTGCCCTGTGCAGCTTTCCGGCGTCCCTTCTAGCCCAGTGGCCACGTCCATGTGGGCAGCCACGGCAGGCGGGTCATCTTCAAAGGCCCAGGGCATGTCCCCAGGTCCTGGGTTAGGGCTGGCTGCCCTCTGGGGACACAGCCCACCCAGGGCGGGAAGAAGCGGCAGAAGCAGGCACGGGGATGCCTCGGCGCAGTCTCGAGGGCCCCTGGGCCTGGCGTCCACACCCCACAGGAGCCGTGCAGGGCAGTGCGGCCTGTGGCCAGGGAGACCAGTGCTCCCCGCAGGTGGGGGCGAGGGCAGCTGTGAGCAGAGTGGGGAGGCCCGTCCGTGGTCAAAGTTGCCTCTGGGTATATTCCCGGGGACCCTCGAGCTGGGCCTTGAGCCCCCGCCCCCCAGGGGGAGACCATCTGGCCCTGGGGTGGCCAGAGGCCCCGGGTCCCGTCTAGCCGGGGCTGCCTGCCTCAGGCGGCTGGTCGGGCTTGGCCACGGCGCCAGGGCCTTCCCCGGCTGCTGGGCTGTGATGCCAGGACAGCCGAGCACAGAGCTGCCTGCTGCTTGGGCCGTGGGGCCTGGGGCATGTCGGGAGGCCAGTCGGGGCGCTCCCCAGAGGGCCTGGAGGACGGGGGTTCTGGAGGCTGCTCTCGCATGCAGCTGGCCAGGCGTCCTTCTAGGCGTCAGCCTTGGGCCAAGTCTGCCTCTGGATTCGAGAGGGGGAAATGGAGGCTGCTGAGCCAGGCTCGGAGGGGCAGTTGCTGGAGAGATGGGGAAACTGAGGCCCTGGGGAGCACGACGTGCCTGCGGCATGCCCGGGACCCCACCCCGCAGCTCCGTCAGCCCTGGGTGAGGGCCTGGAGCCCCAGGTCCTGGGGAGGCGGCCTGCAGCCCCTCCTGGGTTGTCTGACAAATCTGTCAGGACTGGAAAGGCCCAGCCCCAGTGGGTGCAGTGCCCCAGAGCTGTGCCTGACGTGGCTGCCAGCACCATCCCAAGGGGCCCTGCTTCACAAGCCTCCCTGTGAAGAACCCGTGGACGCCCCCATGGGTGCCATCCGTCTCCAGCCACGCTGTCCCAGCTGGGCTGCTCGCCAGGCAGGGCTGTGTGCCCCCGAGCTGCATGCTGAGTCCCCAGGCCGTGGCCTGGCATGGGGCATGGGAGTGACCAGGAGGCCCGCGGTCTTCGGGGCGGCCTGGGACGCGTGCCCCGTGGCAGAACACAGCCAAGCAGGCACTGTGGAAAGAGAGTAAAAGGGAGCGTGGCGATGACGCAGAAGAGGACGGTCACGTGACCGCAGAGCCCAGGTGGGCCAGGCGGGGGCCGCGGCCACCAGGGCCAGGACACCCGCGACCGGCACATCCGTCAGAAGGGCCTCGGGGAAGAGCCTGCCTGGCCGGGTCCGGGCCGTAACCAAGGAGACGCCTGGTCACCCAGGGGACAGCAGCTTGCAGGGTGGAGAGGACACTCCCCAGGCTGGGCCCCCAGGGCCAGGAGGCAGGTCAGGGAGGGCCGGCCCTGAACCAGAGGGGGAGGGGCCGGCCTCGTGCACAGGCCTTAGCCCAAGGGGCGGGGGACGGGGCTTGTCCAGGCGCGGGGGGCCTCCCTGACCGCAGTCCTGGGGTCAGCGCCCAGCCCTGCTCTGGGCCAAGTGGGGATCATCCTCTGGGCTCCCAGGCTGCACTGCCTGGCCACGCTCTGGCCTCTGTCCCTCTCCCGTGCTGACCTCAGCCACCCTCTGCTTCCTGCCCAGGTCCTGGCCTACAGCTGGGGTTGCCCCCGCACACTACAGACTGGCTTGGCTGCTTGGCACCCCTGCCCAGTGCTGAGCCTCCCTGAGACCTGCCAGCCCTGGCACCCACCACGGCAGGAGACTCCCCGAGTCGGGGTCCCTGCCTGACCCTGCTCCTCATGCCCAAGCAAAGTTTCATAGAAAATTCCAATCTACGGGGGCCTCCCCTGGTGGCGCAGCGGTTGAGCGCTGGGTTGCGAGGCTGCCCGCAGCCTCTGCAGTGCCAGTTCGACCCCCAGCCACCGGCGAGGGTCCCACAAAAAAAAAAAAAAAAAAGAAAAAATAAGAAAACCCCAGTCTAGGGCCTCCCTGGGGTGCACGGGCAGTTGAGCACAGTGCTGTGAAGCTGTCCACAGCCGCTGCAGTGTGGGTTCGATCCCGGCCGGTCAAAGAGCTACCCACAGGGCGCAGCAGACCTCTCATCTCCCCGCTGCTCCCCTCAGCAGTGGATTTCAGTGGATCCGCCTGTTCTGCTCCCCACTCTGTCTCTGGGGAGTCCTCTCACCGGCACATCTCGTCTGTACCCCAGCTCTTGTGTGCATGAATAAATAAATCTTTATTTTTTTTTTTTTTTTTTTTATTCGTTTGTTTTGTTTACACATGCACTGGGTACAGTCAGAAGCGCGGGAGGGTGAGAGAATTCACCAGAGCCAGAGCGGGGAGCAGAGCAGGCAGAAGGACTGAAGTACACTGCTGAGGGGAGCAGCGGGCGGCAGGAGAGGTCTGCGCGCCATGTGGGACCCTCTCCCGGAGGCC